CTCATTTTAGTTTTGCTTGGTTGAAAATATCAAGTATTACATTATAGCTCAATTCTAACATGTGAGCTGATAGGGGAATTTTATGAGAAAAGCTATGGTTTATTTTACTGGTAAACCACCCTGCTGTCTTGAAAGACTTTTGAGTCTAAATGGCGGACGCCAGTTATAATATAAAAGCAACTAGACGCTCAGAGAGCGCTTACATGGGCTTCCTGGAGCAATTTCCAATTGAGATGCATTTTCATGGAGAAAATAAAGTCTGGAGCCTATCTATTTTTCATCAATATTTGATTTATTACTTTTCCATACAACCATTAATGAAGGTTTGTTTTCTAGCAAGGTTATTTTTTATTTGAGTATTAAAAATCTGTGTTTCAGGATCAATTCAGATTTAGAGAAGTTGCATTGCGAGTCACTTCTTTCAATTGCAATGTAAATGTATTTGTTGTCCTATAAATATTGCAGGTGGTAATGATCAAATAAAAAATAAAGGGATTTTGCAAAACAGCTCTCAACAATGTTTTGTGATTCTGCTATATTGTTTTTATCATCTGTTTGGATTGACAGGAAGCCCATGTAATAAATGATTGCTTGAAGCAGTTTGCTAGTGAAATAAACCGCTTGTGAAGGTTGGGAGAACACTGACGGTTCGTGATTTATTTCGCCAGTAAACTGCTTCAAGCTATTGTTTATTGCTTGTAACTCATAGATGATGTTTTATTTGCTTGTAGCTACACAAGGTAGAGGATGACACTGTAAATGCTACGCCTGAAACAATTAGGTGACATCATGTACAAAGAAAGCTTGCATAAGAAAACACCAAGACCTGTCGATATGTACAGTGAACTTCTCTATTGGTTGAGTTTACATGTAGTTATTGAATGTTATAGAAAAAGACATTTTGATCTTTTTTGATAAAATTAGGAAGGGTATAACAGTTTGGGATTGATTAGGTTAAGGAACAAAACAAGGCTTTTTCCAAAAACATTTCTACAAACCAAATAATAAACCAAGATATTTATAATGGTATTTTATTACCCTATCCAGTTAAGACTTCCAACGTAAGTAAATGTAACATTGCGCATACTGTGAATATACTTATAACTGGCCTGCCTGACAGCAATATATTGTACATGTACATGTATGCAAGGAAGATATTTTTTGTGTTATTAAAAGTTCTAAACAAGCATTCCAAGTGTTTTGTCAAGATTGAAAACCAACACATTAATAAAAAGCTACATAAACTATATAAACTACGGGTATCATAGGCAGCYCATTAATAAATGTGCTAACACTGATTGGATGGGCTGCCTATGAATGTAAATGGTGGAAATGAAGCATGCTGTCAGCAATTCTATAATTATTTATCTTGTGTTAGAATAAAGAAGTGAGACAAACCTATGAAACATCTAAGAAGCACCTAATTAYGCTGTTTTGTTCTGTTCATTTATCTATCRCCGTATGTTTATCAGGATTACTGTTCTCATTTAACAGTGATTTTCCCTTGTCTGCTAACCAGCAGTACAGCTAGCAGTCTGTATCTGAAGWCTGGATTGTTATTTTTTTAGTACTTTCAATGGACTAAGATAAACTTTTCATGAATGACCTGGAAAAAATTGCTATCAAAGCAATGCAGTTGTTCATAAACATGAAAAGAAAACAATTAGAAAAGAACAAAAGAAAACGAATTCAGAACTCATTAAATTAACAATGTATATAATATAATATCCCATCATTTTCTTTTGTGTCCATTTGACTATTACGCCATATTAAATGTGGCTTCCACTGTTTTTTATTTTATYATTTTATAATTCCTGCCCTTCCTTTAAATGAATTCCAGTTTAAGAATATTTTTAGTGACTTAAGAGTTGGTGTTATGTTTCACAGGTGTGGTAATATCGTTAGGTGTAGAAGATGTGGGAGAACTGTCTTCATCTTGTACTTGCATATGATATTTGTACGTTGTTTCTGTGGTTTGAAGATGACCTGATAACAAAGATTAAGAAATCAGCACTATTCAGGGGCGGATCCAGGATTTTTTTTAGGGGGGTGACTTTTGATTTTTTAAGAGTTAACATATTTAATTTTCCCGCCAAACGTACCAAAGCTCGAATGAATGTGTGCTCTTAGATGCCCGAGACGCTAGAAAGTGTTATTTAGTCCTTTTGAAAAGTGTTGTTTATCGAAATATCAACCAATTATTTCCCTATTTCCTTGATATGAATATTTCTATATTCAATTTATCCAGGAAAAAGGGGGGTGAACATTCACCCAGTTCACCCCCCCCTGTATCCGCCCCTGCTATTTGTAATGGGCTGCATATAGGAAGTAGCATGCATAGGTGAGACCACACTTACCTGAGGAAAGATGAAACATTCTTCCTTTTTTATCAGTTTCTTTGGGGGGTGGAGAAAACCAATTATAAAATGATCCAACTAATGGCACATTTCTAATTCCCTGCAAAAATRAGSCAAATAAATWCTCAAAACAAAGCATTTTATCCCCTGTAATGTCACACCGATAGAATTGTGTACAAAGAAAGGAGTACTTAAACCACATGATAATCATTGTTCTTACATCGTCCAGCATTCTCTCYTCTGCATCTTTGTGTAAATCTTCTTCAGCAGCTTCAATTCCTTTCTGTATAATTTCTTGCATCTGCTCCAAAAACTTAAGAAGAAAAAGAGTCAAATATAAAGCTTAATAACTGAAAACATCTGATTACTAGCATTTAAGTTGAAAACTAATTTCCATACATAAGGCTTAACAAGTACAACAAGGTCCCCAATCTTACCTTGCTGGAGTCAGCCAATTCTGTACATGTCGTTGACAATAATTCRACAAGTTCTGTATATTTTTGAGGATGTGTTACCTAGAGGAAAGTTATTCCTGTTAACAAATACAATTTATAATCATTGTGTGAAATTATTTATATAGTCAAAGCTACCTGGTGTATATTAATACAAGAAAGTCCATCTAATGTAGAACCAAGAGAGAAACTGTCTCCATGCATTTCTGCCACCTTGTCAAATATATCTCTATTCAGACTGGTGAGCTCCATTTTTTTAGCTTCACTGAGATGTTCCTTTGACTTCTGGTTCCAGTATGGTGGAAAACATCTGAAAAGTTCAAATGATTTTATATGTAAAATGCAGTATCTTTGAAATTGTATTTCTTGCTATAACTTGGAGATGAGGTGTGGTAAAGAAGGAGTAGGTGGGATACTTTGTCACAACTTTGTCAAACATGTGCACAGTATATTCAATCATAGAGATTTAGATTCTGTACTCACAAGATKGCAGCAACAGCTTCACTGGAATCATTAGATTCAACTGTGATTAGATTTTCCTTCCCTGCAAGAGCTTTTCTGATGTCACTCTTGGCAGCAAGTAAAGTATCCATACTTGCCTGTGAATAATTTTTGAAAAACACTGAGACGTATAGAATATGTAAACGGGTTTACAACTATAGCTTACCACTTGTTTCTTTAGATTGAACACAAACTCTTCGATATGATCTGAGGTTGTACCACTTACTGAAATTACAAMATATACCATGGTCGCATTAAACAGAATACTGTATATAATCAACAACAAAAAATGCATTCATTGAAAAAAACTGCAATGTATGGGAACTGGGAGTTTGATTATGTACATTTGTAAATTGAACTGCATTAATTTTTGAATTCTAACATTCCAATCTTTGAATTCCCTAAGAGACTTTTATTGAGCACTAACAATGTAGCCAGTCATTTATAAATTATATCATTACCTCTTGATGTTGATATTGGATYAAACTTCAGGAATTGACCTTGTTTYGGTATACTGATTACATCTAAAACTACAGTTGGAGCAACTTTGGCAAGGTGGTCTGCTAACTGAATGACAACACAAATCGTATAATTTGTCAACATGTACAACTTTGACCTAACATTGGAGCAACTTCATTTTAATAAATGAAAAGATTTAAAGGTAAATTTTAATATATTGAACAGCAAGCTGTGAAACTCAAAGCAAACAAGATTGTTTGGGGTTTGTTTCTGAAACTAAATGTACAATATATGAAAAATGTCAAGAAAGCAAACAAAATCATTGGTAATGAAGGGACAGTTTAATTCATGCACAGTTTACTATCCCACCTTAGTGTTCATAGAGTCTTGTATTGACTGTGTTACTTCACTGTCTACTGTTGAGTTCTGTGATGTTGAGTTCATGTCAAAATCATCTACAACATAAAGAATGAATACAAGTAAAATATCAATTAACAGAGCTTGGTGTATAGTTCATCTAAACAAAACATGCTGGAAACAATTATTTATAATTTTTCTGATGTTATTGTTACACTTTTGACTTATTGGTTTTCATTGGTTTCCTTGAACTACTAAACATTAAGAAAAACTAGAATAAACGATTATAGTGCAAAAAATTTGATTCAATTGTTTCATTGTACAACTAACACTATCAGTGAAGAAAACTCAAGTTAAAAAATTTTGTAAAAAAAGAGAGTGTAAAAAATGATTCAATAGGTGCATAGAGTGAAACATTTCTTAATATGTATTGCTAAATAAGATTTAGTTATCAACTAACTAAGAATTCAACAAAGCATAAACACAATGCCAATTATTTAAATTCATTTGTAGCATTGTTCTCAATTCTTAGTTAGTTGATAACTAAATCTTATTTAGCACTACATAGTTAACAATTATTGTTTCATGCTTATGTGACTTGCACTCTACTACTGTTAGACTGGAGATAAATGCAGTAGTACCTTGTTCATCATCACCTCCGCTGTCTTCCTGACTCTCATTTGAATTTGATATTGACAGCGATGCCCTGTATCTAAAKACTACAACTAGYGATGTGCAGTGGGACTGAGCCTGCAATAATGGAAATGACASCTTTAATGAGCATCAATATCATTCATATTAATAATCATTAGCAACAAATACTTACGATTCTTGTCAGGCTTGATATAGAATCAATGCCTAGACACAACTGCTGTGCTAACTGTGCAGAATTCAACACAAGATTTCTCATTTGRTCAACACCTACAACAATGWAAAMATTCATTTATAACAGAAAAAAGGAGARWTATTAGCCTGCRTTCAGCYRAACCAAAACTGYCCTTGTGTCTGACAGTTTTGGTTTGGCTGAACACAKKCTAGAGATATTTGGATACTATAAAATAAACTGTAATAAGTATTTCAATACAAWATTTACCTATATTTTGTATACTTGTCCATAGAGGCAGTATTGAAAGCTTTTCAGGCATGGAAGGTTTGGTCAAGCCAGCRCAGGCAGCCTTAAATGCAAACAGAAATCAAAATAACTACTTGTTTCATGGACAAAGTCCTGCTGTTCAACTGCATTCAAATCTATGACCTTGAGGAAGGCACTTAGGAAGTACAAAAGGAAATGCAAGAACACAAAATGAAACAAGAGGAAAGGCATAAAGTCAGATGCATGGAGGAGCGATGCACAGCCCTTTCATCTTGATTATACTTACTAAAACTGGGTCTTTGGCTCTAAAAAATGTCTAGTGAGAAGTCAAGGTAAATAGAATATAACATATAGTTTGTGTTTAAAGTTTAACCATTTCTCTCCCAAGGGGCTCAATCAGGACCAAYCCCATAATCCCAAGGGGTCAACAGAGAACAAAGCCAGAATTAAAAGACCTTTTTTTAATCACAAAAAGCATGAAAACTAGACATTATCAAGCAATAATAGATGAAGGATACACAAAATGACAAGCAGCCAGTAAGACCAAACCATTTAGAAATATGAAGGCTCATACTATCRCATGCTGTCGCTGTCTGAAATATAGAAAAAATAAAATAACTTTCTCGCCCCACATTCAACTTGCTATCATCATGTTAACATTAATGCAAATAAATAGTGAATCAAAAGCTATACTCCTAAATGCTTACAAATAAAATTACAAGTACCTTGATGGATGGAGGAACAGTGGGTAGAGAGAGTGCAGCAAGGTTATCTCTAAACATTTTAAAACAAATTAATGATATTTTTTTATAACAATAATATTTGACAAGTGCTTTTACCCCGACCTCTTGGCTTATATGTACATTAGGCAGGGTTCTCAAAAGAAAAAAGTAGACAGCTGGTCTAGCAAAAGCACATGGAGGTTTTGCAGTCTCCAATATTTTCTTCAAGTGATTACCTATGCAATAACCAGGATTTTCACCAGCTACCACCTTCTATTGAGAACCCTGTACAGGGCAAAGTACAAGTTCAAGCTCAATTAATGGTATACTCCTAAGAAAGCCATGTTAAAGGCCCAGTTTGCACCATTATGCTTTGCGCACCTCTGTTATTGTTATGGTTTACACCAAAATACTTCTAGTATCCAAATATCACCATAAAACGAATTTCAGATGGTTGAAAACTCTTATATTAGCATTTAAAGTGCTTAGAAAAGTGAGTGGTCAAAGATTCGAAACACAAAGTACAATTTATAAACTCCCAGCCCCCAAAGCATAATGGTGCACACTGGGCCTTTAACCCAGAGTAAATGCTAACCATCCTTTGAGGAACTACACACTGAAGCTTGGGCATTCAATGACGATGTGAAAGGAAATAAAAGGAAATTATTAAAACCTACCCTTCTAAATGTAACCACAATCCATTTTGTGTACAAAGTTCCCTAAGCCTTGCTACATTATCTGTGTGACCAACCAAAGGTGTACCTACAAACAGGAATTACAAGTTAAACAGGAATATCTGGTTTATGYCAAGATAGTGATGTATGACTTAGACATTAGGGATTCAGATGATGTTTAGTATACGTGTCCAAGCAACCTACCTGCRTAAGCTACCAAGAGAAGTGGAGTTTTGCCACAAGCAACATCATCATTAAATAGCCTTTCAAAAGCAGCAATATCCTTATAAAATACAACACATTTATTTAAAAAAAACACGTTTCTAAATCTCAATTTTTGAGTCAAGTATACTCACCAATGTATGATTGGAACCAAAGACTGTATTACAAGGGACTATAGAAAATTAAGAAGCAAAGATTAAAACAAACAGCACTTGATAATGTTATGTCATCAAGGATTTATGTCTTACCTTTACATATACTTGACTGTGGCAAACCAAGCTAAAACAATCATAAAATATATGTTATTAATATAAAGGATAAATTCAACAAGAAAACAAAAAAGCGCATCATTATCCAACATTATCGACACCAATGTATACCAGAATTTAAGAAAAGTGCAGAAATTGCACAAAATTGTAATTATTACAAAGAAAAGAAGACAAAGAATTATGAACTGTTTGGAACAACTTTGCATTAAGCAATGCATACTTTTCACAAATAAATATTTATCTATTAAAAAATGTACCTGGCTRCACAAATACTGTCCTAATGTTGGTGTGCAAGCTGTACTGACATACACAACTGGTGGCCTAAAATAGATCAAACATTCATCAGTCACAAAATAATTAGTTAGCTAAGGTTAAGCAAGCTATTTTTGATTTCTTGTATTTACCTTGTATAGAGTGCTGTAAAACCTTCTGTGGCATATTTAGGATACTTAGCAAGTAGTGCCAGTCTACATACTACAAAGATTAATAACAATTAGCCAATCAAGTGTTTCCTTTAATTTATATATACATCATATAAATCATCCAATCATTTTTTCCCTTTTATACATCACATTAATTACCCAATCAATTTGTTCCTATTATTTATATCAATCATTAACCAATCAAATTGCCCCTGCCTACCATCAACCAATAAAATTTCTACTACTGTAATATCACTACCATCAGCCAATCAAATTATTACTTCTCTACTAATAAACAACCAATCAAATCCAATTTAATTTATTCTATAAGTTACCTTGTGTTAGACCTTGCCACTGGTGGTCATGGAAACTAGCAGCACCATTTTCAAAACTTTAAACAATCAAAAGAAAATTTGTTTAAATTCTCTATAGAACAAATAATATTACATAATGATGATTCTGAACATGGTTTTACTMACTTGAAAAGCTTTGCTAGCCAATGTGTGCAGTCGGACTTCATGCATGCTGCCAATTTGTTGATTCTTTGTTGATCGAGTTGGGTTAAATATGCTGCTAACGCCTGGGCTGCTACACATGAATGGGTATACCTGTCTGGACTGAATGAGTATCTATAATACACACATACMAAAGACCACATTACTCTTATTTTAGTTTAATTTGTATGTTTTTGCAGTTAACAATCAAGTGTATCCTTCCACAAATGCAATTTGTTTTACTGCTGTTGTCTGTGTCCAAGGACTTACATTCTAGGTGGTCTGTCATGGTTKATCAGCTTRACAACCTCTAAGAATATATTTTGGATTTCATTGCTGCTACAAGAAAGAAATACCAAAATGCATTATGTTCATTAGGACAGTCTAATACTACTCCTTTTACAAATATTTCCTTGAGCAACCATGAAATGTTAGCTTACTGTTTTGGTTGCTTGGAGTCCTCTGCTTCCTCTAAATTATGTGCTATACCTTCGCTGTAAATATAAGGCCACAGATAATCATTATAAATATTTAACTATTTTCTTTAAACATTACTTATGCAATGTAAATAAATGTAAATAAAATTGAATTGAATAAATTGAAAATGGTATGCAGGATTCTAGTCATGACTTAAGTCAACAGTTTTTCAAGATTTTTATATGAATACAAWTACCCCAGTTCAAGAGATTTTCTCTTCTTTTCTTGATGTTTTTCTTTTACATTTTTTTCCCCTTTGAATTTTATTTGAAAAGAAGACAAAACCTCTGGAACCAGGACAGAATAATTATTTTAATGTTCTGGACATCTTGAATTTATTTATTTGATCTCATTGTAAATAACAATTAAACATTATAATTAATGTTTTTTGTATATAAAAGTGCTTACTGATGGTGCAATGTATCATTATAAAATAAAAATAAAATCTTTTTTTTACCATTATTCATGATCATGTACAATATTAATCCAAGAGCAGTACTTMATTAAAAAGAACATGTATGTTCAATTTGGATTACTAATAATTAACTTTGTTCAATAAATGCTAAAAATTGTGTAAAAATCATATTTCAATATTAGTACAATCACTTAAATTTTTTTTGTAAAATACAATTTAATTTTAATGACAATATATAAATATATTCATAGACATGTCTCAAAATTTGTCATTTAACATTTAACAACCMGTTATGATGTGGCAGCTTTTAGATGGTACGAAAATAATCTGTTCACGAAGTTAATGGATTGTCACTTCATCTTKTATTTGGGTACCCTGTGGTATGTTAAAAGCTTTGATAAGGTTAAGTCTTAGTTAATATAATAAGGGGTCTCTGCTTGACCTGAAGCACAAATACTAGTATTTTATTTTGTATTCTGCATTTCTTAGAGTTAAAAATAAATAAGAAATGCTAAATTATTTGTAGACCTCTTTCCATATAGACAAAACAAATTTCATACTTATACAAGTAGATCGAAATTAATTSGTTTATGATGAAATAATTTTTGTCTAATTATTTTTCACATTCAATAACAATCGAAACCAAACATTTTACCCTTTGAGAATCTATTTGCCTGGGAAACAGGAAGTCTAATGTACGATCTATGACATCAAAAACCAACTATGTTTAACAAATAAATGTAGTTATATTTTTTACCTGCTGGTACTGCTTGCTTCAAAAACAGTACTTATATACTTCTGGATGTCTTCATACATCATCTAAAAATGTTTTAACGATAAAAATACAATGCAAACTACTGGAAAACCAAAAAGACCGACAACAACATCGAAACGCTCTCAGCTGATTTCATTATTCAATCAAAAAGCAAAATACATCTGAAAAATTATGGTTTACTTACTGGAATATTGTTYAAATGTGTGTTTTTTGTTGTGGAGTCTTTGTTTTCGGGTGAATTGGAAAGGTTTTCAGAAGACATTTCTGTACTTRCAACCTGTGTTTGACTATCAGCCATCTTGTTCTGTGACTCAGCCACGCAGTCATATGCTACGTCACACCTTACCAAATATAGATAYCCAACACAGGGAGCCCGAAATGAAGRGAATTTATCAAATGCATATTTGTCAAGATTCAAACCATAGTTTTATTCACTTTTTTTATTCATTTACAAACATGTAGATAAAGCTTAAGTWAAGCTTGAGTTAAGATTATCGCACGAACTGTATTTTAAGAAACAAACGTTTAACAAAATACCTGAACATTTTGACAGCATAAATTAGGATAATATGTCACGCGAAGCAAGAAAGCACGTACTGTAACAATTTTGCTATCAAACAATCTTTTATCTAATTAATCAATAAATAATATTCATAAGTACATTTATTTGATATTTAACAAACACATGTATAGATGCCTTGAAGAAAGAGGGTATCGCKGTACATCATGCCATCCAATAATTTGCMAGGAAAGTGAAGTAGCCAAATGGRAAAAGCACTCTTGATACGTAATCTACCCAGTGAACTGGCAATGCAGGARCGTCTTTTGCTTTACCCTTGCCATTTGCATTTGAGTCTGTTCTGCGCTGACGGGCTATAGGCTTTCCTGCTAAGATYCTCACCACAGCCCTCTCACCTTCCTGTAAGTCATGATTAGGAAAAATGAGCCTTCAGTCTCTCTGCATATTGGCTACAAATTGTAGCATGAATTTTCGTGTCAGAAATTTTCTTGTCAGAAATTTGCTTAAGCGTTTGTTGTTGTTGTTGTTGTCGTTGTTGTTTGAGTTGCGTAAATTTCGTATGTCGATTAACACTGGTTTTATACTCACCACGGCGGGAAGGGACGATTCGCTTTTGATGACTTCTAAAACCTATAGAAACATGTGGGATATCTTTACAAAACTACTGAGCATGCGCACACTGTTATCATTTACTAAACTTACAAGGGACGCCGGACTAGAAGGAAGATCAATATCAATCATCATCATTATCAAGCTTAGCACTAAGCAAACTTTAAAAGATTAAACAAGTTTATCGTACTCACAGTCTGTTTATCCAAACCGAACTTCCTGATAAATCTCTTCCACCACAAGGGTAAAGGATTGGTATTGAGCACTATGACGAACTCAAAGAACGACATAAAGATAAACCCAAAGTTTGTCAAAAGAAAATAGTCGATGGATTTCATGTAGCTAACCTGAAAGTATATTAAACAAAATTAGTCAGACGAATCAGAATGCAGCCTGCTTTGTCTATAGTAGAGATTGAGGTATTACCATGCGTCGCGCACACAGAAGCTTATCAGTGAAGTTGACAGAGAAGAAAACGCGTCGGCCTACGAAAACGAATGAGTCTTGACAGGAATTATTACATAGTACCTTTGGCATGTCTCGATTGACTCCACTAGATAAGAGAATTGTTGTCAGTATTGTAGTGATGCCAAGGGAGACGCGAGCAGGAACAGCTTGTCGAGAAATCCAGAAACAGCACCACGACAAGATAACTAGGATGACTGCTGGGGTGAAMACTGAGAAGATGAAGAACTCCAGTCGACGCTGGAAGGAGAAAACAACCTTGAGACTTGCAAAAGATGCTGAGAAAGAAAAGATGAAATGATTAGTTGGTTGGTTGGTTGCTTAGTTGGTTGGTTTGGATGGTTGGTTGGTTGGTTGATTTGCAGGTTACTTGACTTACACGATTTTGACAGTTTCTTAGTCTCYGTTTTGACTGCTTTTAAATTGAACTGTGACATTTGTTGCGATACAATCTCAATTCCGTTACTTCCTTCTTTTTTCTTCCAAGTATAGTTCACTTCGGCTGCTGTGTAAGCATCTGGCAAAGAAACTCACAGGATTAGGTCAAGGAAAAGGTTTCTTGTACTAAAAAGGAGCACTTACAGCTTTCGATAATTAGTGCGCAATGCTGTGTATCCATGGGAAACAAACGAAAATTCATCTCACATTGTGCGACAATTGTTATCCTGAAAAATTAAAAATAGACATCATGACGATGCAATTTACTCCTCATGGCTCACCTTCCGCGCTCGGCTTCCCACTCACGATCATGTGACAAAGAAAATTGCACAAACATATTACAGATGGACATCTTACAGATGTACAACAATTATGCCGCTTTTCAATCAAGTGTTACGTAGAGTGTTGTTGACAGAAATGACAAGAAAAATGAAAGGAAAACCAGTTTTACAGGGGCCCATATATATTAGCAGGAAATTCAGATTGCGAGGAAAACAAATTTCCAAAAATACCGATATGTAACAACTACACGTTTTTGTTGAAATAACTTTTAATTACAGATAAAGACAAAAGAAAAAAAAACACAAATTAAAAAAAAAAACATGAATAGAAAAGAAATTATAATGATTCACCATATGTGCAATACGGGATTCGATCCTGCGAATGGCCAAACCACCGTCAGATTTGCACGCAACGCCTTAACGCGCTACGCCACTGTACCACTCTCATTTACATAATAATAGACCACTTGACACTTTCACCGAATAGACTACCCCAATATGACATTATACTTTCGATAGTTGCCTAGTTAGTGCAAGGGGTTATCCATCAGTGTCTAGGGGCCGGATAGCTTCTCCCTCACTGGCTTTTTAGTTAGCGCGAAGTTAGGACCAATTATCGGGATAGCATGGAAGAGCCGAAATCTCTAGCCGGAATGTAAAATCGATTCGCCGCCTCAGCTTCACAGAATGTCTCGGGGGAATCGTCCCAACCTTTTTTCGATTTTATGGTCATGGGTTCGAATC